GTTGTTGTTACCACTAATGCGTCGACATGGTCTTCCTCTGGACCTTCGAGGTCGGAGGAGTTGAAGACTATGCTGTGATCAGGTCTTCGTATTTGATATACGCGTTCGGATGGAGAAGCGCGTTCTTGATTCATGCGCGCTGATCGAGCGAGTGTGCGTCTTGCATTATGTGAATCGCCTCCCGCCGGTCCTCCGGAGATGAAGGAGATGATTCCTCGGGTAGGTTGGTTATCATTGTTATCTAGGTCACGTCGGTGACTCCCATCTTCTCGTCTTTGTTGTTGATCTCGGTTATTATCTCGGCGTGGAGGATCATCACGGCGTTTATTTCGCGGCTTATCGACGTATTCGCCTAAATGGCCCTGTTTGATCAGCCTCTCAATCGCCATTTTAAGTTGTGCACACTCTTCCGTAGTATGCCCTCTGTCCTTATGGAATCGACAATAACGATCCGATTTTTCTCGCTTTGCGTTTGGCTGCATAGGACGTGGAGGTTCTGCTAAACCTTTCTGCTCTATCACGTGAAGGATTTCCGTGAGGCGAGTGTTCAGCGGAGTGAACCTATTGTAGGAGGAAGAGGGTTGGCCTTGAGGTGGTAGTGGTGGACGTCGATCGTCGCGCCTCCTATTGTCCTGACGGTCGTCTTCCCTTTTTCTTTTAGAAGGAGCATGGGTAGAGGCTTCCTCTATCCGGACGTATTTTTCGGCTCGATTCAGCAACTCTTCTAGGTTGCCTGGAGGTCTTCCGGCGATAGATTCTTTGAATCTACCCGGTTTCAAGTTCTGCTGCATGATCCCGGAGAGCATGTCTTGTCCTACACTGGGGACCTCGTGGACGGCTTCTACGAAACGCTTAATGTAGTTGCGGAGCGTCTCGTTATCTCTCTGTACTATAGAGAAAAGATGAGCTGGAGTCTTGGCATATTGTTTGTTGATGGCGAATTGGTTGGTGAAGCGGGTCGACAACCGAGCGAAGGTGTCAATCGACCCTATGGGCAGGGAGTTGAACCAATTCATTGCCCTCTTGGAGAGAGTGGTGCGGAACATTTTGCACATCGCGGCATCCGTTGGGCCATATAAATCTGCCATGGCACTGAATTTCTCTATATGTTCCTGTGGGTCGGTGGTCCCTTCAAATTGTGGTAACCCCGAGATCTTTACCCCTTGAGGTAAAATCTCGTTGAGAATGTCTATGGTGAAGGGACTGCGTCTTGTTGGGGGAGGCATTCTTTCATCCCTTTGATTATTTGGTTGGGAGAAAAGGTTTTGGCGAGACATTCTGCTGTTTACTTCGCCTTCTCCCTCATTAAAGAGAGGGACTCTTGGTGGTGACGCATTCATGAAGCTAAAATATAGCTCACCTAAGGGGTATGGAAAAATGAGTTGGGAGAGCAAAGCGGATCAGTAGCTTGACAACTCGATGATCCTGAGGTCCCTACAAAATAAGCACACGTGAACTAAGCCGGGGGTTGATCCGGCGGAAACCCCTCCGACGCTCAAGTCAGATGTACGGATCGTAGAGAGAATAGAGAGAATAAACTCGTGGTGGATTATCAATAATGAGAACGTACCTTTACAAATGAATAAAACTTCTATTTATATGTCGTTGATTGAGTTGGGCTTATTTTGTTGGGCCCAAGCCTTACTTTGAATGTGCTTGGGTTTTCGTGTAATGGGCCCGAATACTTTCGTGTATTGGGCCTAATTATTAAATAAATTGGGGTCCATTGGGTCGGCCCAATTAGGTATATCATTACATATAATCTAGAAGATTCCATTAAATTTAACACTACAAGGGTGACGTCTACGAATATTGATAGTTGAGGGGTTGGTTGTAATTACTCAAACATAAAGAATTTTTTATCATAATTTAACCTAACCTCTAGGGTATGTCCATAATTTACCCTAATTTTATACACAAATTTAATTTTCTCAATTTTTTTCATTAATTTACTATAAGGAAACTTTAGGTTAGAGTCTTTATATAAAAATTGCAAATTTAAGAAAATATTTAAAAACTTTATATAGTCTCTATTTGTGTACGAGATGTCCTTGGAAGACGTTTTAAAATGCATTCGTGGAAATTTAAATCAAAAAAAATTATCACTGTCGGATATAAATCTAGTGTGTTCTAGGGTTGTGCATGGATCAATTTTAATCACCAACCAACCTATTTTCAACCCATAATTTGTGATGGATAATCAACCATCAACCGACCCATTTAAGTTGGATCGATAATATCAACCAACCCATGTATAGTTGGGTCGATAATGGTAATTTTATTAATTAATTTAGTTAAAATGTTTAATATTTTTAATTTCAAATTTTTATTTTATATCACATTTATTAAATTATCTAATATTGACCAAAATTATAAAAACAATAAATCTAACTTAAATATGTAATTTGAACTATTTTAATTTCAAAGACATATAGCATAAATATTTGGACGATTATTATTTATTGAACTATTTATGTTTAGTTGCAATACATATGCCAGTCACATTTAATTTATACCAAGAATCACAGGATGAGTTGGGTTGGTTTTGGATAGGTTAGTTTTATAGCTAGTTTTTAACCAAATCATGTGTACAATGAATTTTAGATTTTTAACAATCATTTTGAGTTATTTTTTATATTGTTACATCTTATTAAAATTCATTTAGTTAGAATTAATAATAGTATTGTTATCTTACTTGCAGAATTAATTTTTTAATTATGAGATCTGAAGTAAGGTCAAATTACCAATACATTTTTTTGAATTTCTAATACTTGCATAAAAAATTAACCAAATATTTTGGAAGAAATTATGAGATTTTAAACTTCTTATAAACTATATTAATAACTTATAAGCCTAACTTCATAGATTTATTTCAACGAACTTCCTCTTCTTTAGATGAACAAACTTATTAGTATTTATTTTATTTATTTCCATAAAAATCAATTGATTATATTAAAATAATCAAACAAAAAATATTTTGGAAACACTTTTCTCAAATTATACAATTTTATTAAAAAGGTACAATGCATGGAATAAAATCAACATTCAATAAATAAATAATTACTAAATTCTAACAGATTTTTCATTTAAATTTTATAAATCCATTATTAGTAACTTTATCAAAAACAATTAACATTCCAGTAATTAATAACTTTTATTAGGACAAAATTAGTTAATTTGTTCTGTTCATGAGTATGTATACTTGAGCTGTGTATGAAGTATGAACAAATCTTTGAATAAAAATATTAATAAATCTATAAATTGAAAATATCTAAATATTTAAAATAAATAATAAAAATTTCAATATGAAAACCTGAATATCCCAAATTACTGAATCCAGCAATTTCATCAATTAATCAAATCATATTAATAATTAATTAAAAAATAGTGAATCCATCGATTAAATTATAAAAAAAATTAATCAAAATAAAAAATAATGAAATATAAAATCTGAATTTGAATAGAAAAGAATATGAGATGAATTTAGTAGAGAAGCTCCGGCGAAAAAAGGAACTCCTCTGTGGATTCATCTCAACGGTTGTCTGGCCGCCGCCGATCAAAAAGATCGGCATTCCATTTCTGCACAGTCGATCAGAGGCTACTCCATTATTTATTTATTCTATATTTCAAGAATAAATTTTTTGGGGTAGCCTTTGATACGCAGTGCAATTTACATATACGATTAAACAAAAACAAAAATTATAAAAAGATATTATTTGTAACAAAAGAAAAGAGTAATTACAGAAGGCTGAAGAGGGCGGAGGAGAAGATGAACAGATCTAAACCCTAGAATTGATTTGGGAGGGTTGAACAATTTGGGGCTGATATAAATAGATGAGGAGTGGGGGTATAATGGGCTTATTTGAAAGCCCATTTGGTTCATGAAAAAAACCTAATTATCCCTTTTTTTATGATAAATCACAACTACCTCCCTGTGTTATAGTCAATTTACAAAAATTCTCCTCATTTTTTAGATATTACTTTAAGACTCTTGCACTTTGTAATTTTTGTACATCTACTCCCCTTAAAAAGGGTGTTAATATAAGAAATTTACAATTTTAGTTTTTTATTAGGAGTATTGCAGGACATTTCATACAATAGAGCATATGCATGAAATTTATATGTTATGTTAAATAAAATTAGGACATTCTATGAATTTAAAGAATCTAAATTTGTTTTGGTTCTTATAATGTGGTTCAAATATTTTAGTGATATAATATGTATTTGAGCCTAAACGACTTTATCATGAATTGAAGAAGTAGAATGAGCTTGAAGTGAGAAAAGTCCAGATAAGAAAAAGTCAACGCATTCTAAAAAACCTACGAAAAACGAGTTAGGAGAAGTGTTTCGTCTTTAGCACTCCGACGATTAAGTCGTAAAGAAACAATATATGCGTACTTAGAGAAATATAGTAAGAATGTATGTATTAGAAATATCAAAGAGGGTCGTCGTTCCTTTGTGTTTTAAGACTGTAATTATACATGTCGTACAGATGGAATAGTGGACCCCCATTATGTCTTTGGTCAAATCAAACGTAGGGGTGGTGTGACTACTACGAGTTGTGCTTGTTTGCGATATGGATCAGCTCAATGGGGAGAGCATGTTGTGTGGTCGCTCCTACTTCAACCGCAAATGGGCCTCTTCCCAATGCATATCATGTTGCAGGCTTTCCGTCTTTGCTTCTGACATTGAATCGAATATAGTCACATTCGTCGGTTATGTTCATTCCACGCGGGGCTAGTGACAGATTCTTATAAAGTTATACCGATGTGAAAATTGAGTCCGAACACAGTATAAAATTCTTACTATTTGGAGTTTAAGGCAATCGAATCCGTCTCGGTATAAATTCAAAACCCGAAAAAATATACGAACCAAATACTTTTTAACAAGGCTTTTTGATTTATGTTTTCACAAAGGCCCAAATGCATAATGGATTGCATTTCTAATTTCTAAAACTAATCCCAACTCCTTTTATCCATCTTAGTGATCTCACCTCATCTTCCTCCTCTCCCTCTCTCTCTCTCTCCTCTCTCTCTCTCACACACACACACACTTGCACAGTGTTACCAGTCAAATTGCCATGGACTCTCTCACCTTCTCCACGCCGCTCGCCCACCACCACTCACTCCCCTCCCTCCGCCGCCCCTCCCTCCTCCAAGCTCCGCCTCCCGCCGCTCTCTCCTTCCACACACAGAAACCCCTCAACTCACCCCTCAAATGCTCCTCCCTCTCTTCCTTCCACCACCAAACCCTCACTTCCCCGGAATCCCTCCTCTTCCACCTCTCCCCCTCCGCCGAGCAGGCTCCCCCCACCGCCACGCGCGGCGCGGACACCGATGCCATGGGGCTGTTGCTCAGAGAGAGAATTGTCTTCCTGGGGAACCAAATTGATGATTTTGTCGCCGACGCTATCATCAGTCAGCTGATCTTGTTGGATGCACAGGATCCTAAGAAGGATATTCGCCTCTTCGTCAATTCCCCCGGTGGCTCACTCAGGTGTGTTCATTCCCCATTTGAAAGTAATTTGGGATTTTATTTTTCATTTAGGGTTTTTTTGATTTCTGGTATGCCAATTTGCTATATATTGATTGGTTAAAGTAAATCATTTTTTTTTGCTTTACACTGATATTGCTCGATTATTGGGTGGTAATTTGGTTATTTATAAATATTGCTATCGAGAATAACAATTTAGGGCATGAACTGGAAGCTAGGTTTTGACAGTATGAAAGTACAATTTGTGCCTTCCTTTGGTGCATTAGCTTCTTGACACTAAGATATAATGTTGCTGAAGACGGTGTAATTCGAGATCTTGCACAATATCTTCTTTACTAGTGATCCGCACGTGAAGCAAACGGAAGTAATTTTGGTTTCTTCGTCGCGGACTGTTATCCTGCAGAATATCAATATCATGTTCCTGAATCAAGAGGACATTGACTAATCCTATATTGATTAATCTGTGAGATACATTCTTGCCTGCAAAAAGGCGGATGCAGGGATTACTTGGTGCCTTAAGAAAGTATGTAGAATAGATAGTGGGCGACGATCTTTCTTTCTTCCCCTTAATCACGCATCATACTCCGCGATTTTCTATCTGATGTGTCATTAAGGAAGCAAGAATTGCATAAGTAACACATGGATGGGCTATTAGTTATAAATAGTTCCTAATTGTCCAAGAATCAAAATTTCATTCGACGTGACTATACGGTTGCAAGCATATCGCGTATATGTGAGCCAATATCAGAAATTTGAACCGTCAGGGATTCCTGGGCCGATTTGGTTGCTACAGTTTTAATACCTCGTCGGAAATACAATGGACTAATTGTTTGTAAGATTTAAAATAGAATTATTTTATCGCAAGTGCGAAAGGGTTTGGCTTGTGCAGAGTTTTCTTTCCTTCTTTAGAAAAAAAATTTAGACACCAACACTGCACATCACTATAGTTTCTTAATTCATGACAGTTTATATCTTTCACAAATTGTTAGCAGATAACTTGACAAGAGTTCTACACTTGAGTCTTCCTTATGCCTTCTTCTTTCAAGATTTGCAATCTGGTGACCCGTGACTGAGTTCTCCATTAGTTTTGTTATCTTACTTTACCGTTTAAGATTGCCTTTTCATGATTTTTATTTTTATTTTCTTTCTTATTAGTGCGACAATGGCCATCTTTGATGTGGTACGTCTAATAAGAGCCGATGTCTCCACAATCGCACTAGGCATTTCCGCATCAACAGCTTCAATCATACTCGGTGGTGGCACTAAAGGCAAACGATTTGCGATGCCCAACACACGAATAATGATACACCAGCCACTCGGTGGTGCTAGCGGGCAAGCCATAGACGTCGAAATTCAAGCTAAGGAAGTTATGCATAACAAGAAGAATATCACAAGCATTATTTCTGGTTTCACTGGCCGATCAATCGAACAAGTCGAGAAAGATATTGATAGAGATCGCTATATGTCCCCAATTGAAGCAGTTGAGTACGGCATAATCGATGGAGTTATTGATGGAGATAGCATTATCCCACTTATGCCCGTTCCTGATAGGGTTAAGGCGTCTAATTTCAATTACGAGGAGATTAGCAAAGACCCCCGAAAGTTTTTGACTCCAGAAATCCCTGATGATGAGATTTATTAGTTGTTTAAGAGTTATTACAGGTACACTTTAACTTTCTTGATTTCATAGTTCCTTTATTCTATTTTCCGTGTGTCAAGTTTAGTACAGAAAGAAACTGCTGCAATTGTTAAGCACTGTTGATATTGTTTTCCAGATGAAGAGGGCAACTCAGTTTGGATTGATTTTTCTATGCCGGGAAACAATTCCGTGTTTTATTACCGTTTGCATTTGCTGTAAGAAGGTTTCCAGTTCCAGTTGTGGCAAGAACATCACTGCAGGATTTCATTATCCGATTTTTTCTCATCTGGTAATGTTAGGGGATTCGCGTTAATTTCAGGCAAATGCCTAGGGGTGAAATTCTTGATTGTTTGCCTGTAATATACTATGTTACTGTTATTGCGCATTTTATCATTACAAGAAACACGAAAAGCTCGTTCGGAGCTTGTTATTAAAAAATGGGGATATTTGTTGTAGAAGTAATTACTTTTAGAAATGATGCAGCAGAAACTTGTGATCTGGGTTGACTCAGTTGTTAGTTGTTGTTTGCCTCTGGTGGTGTAGTATAAATCGATCTTTAAATATTGGTATGCAGAGAGGTGGTTTATGTTTTTATGTTGACTGCTGTATGTGAAAAGAAAAGTCAACAGAAAGGAACAAACACTATATTTTTTATGATTAAAATTAAACAAAAAACACCCTTTTATATTCATTTCTCATTATCAAATGTAATTAAAAAAAAGGGGTAAATTACAGTCTAGACTATTTTGGGTAATTGCAACGACTCATAATTATGAATCTTCTTATATGTTCATTTTTATTTGTGTCAAATTATAGTTTTTGATGCATCACGGTCTGATATTTATAAGTCAGGAGATACATCTTATGATCATCTTGTTTTTAAATGTGGAGCTTGAATGTGGTAAAATGGGTGCAAAATGGAAAATATTACTCATAATTTAGAAGATTTCATTAAATTTGACACCGTAAGGATGGACATGTAAGAAGTGGTTGAGGAAGTTGGTTGTAATTAATTTTTTCGTAATTTGACCTTATCTGTTACCGTAATTTATCATTAAAAAAGTTGCATTAATTTAATTTGTAACTACCTTCACTTTGTTTCTTCTTCTACATTTTTTGATTTAAATTTGAGATAATATAAAATCTTTAAAGAACAAAACAAACATTTAAGACTACATTAATAAAAAATAAAAATAAATAAAAAGAATTGACTAGGTAGATGTTGAATTGTTTTTGCCAAGATTATCCCTCCCCTTGTCTTCTCTCTCTCCTCTCTCTCTCTCTCTCCCTCTCTCTCTCTCTCACACACACTTCAACACACACAAAAACACAAACACACGCAGAACAGAAAATAAATAACGGGAAATAAATTCCCATTCTCCACATGGAAACTCCGATCACCGGATGTAATCGCCGGTGACGGGGGATAGGGAAGTGAAATTACTGTACTACCCTCGCACGGGAAAAAACACAAAAATTCCCCATGGATTCGCCGGAGGTCAATGAGGAAGATCAGATTAATGACACGAGCGATGAAGCCAGTCGCCGCCGCCGCATACTTTTCCGTTCACTCTTCTCCGTCGCGTTCTCTCTCTCGGTCTTCTCTCTCTTCTCGTTTTCCGTGCTGTATCTAGCTGTTTTGATTGGAAATTTATCCATTTGGAGCCCGATTTCTGTACACTCGCGCTGCAAAATAGTTTCCAGCAGTAAGTTTTTTTTTCTTCCCCCTTATTCAGATTACATTCCGCTTCGTTAATCAACAGATTGGCGTTTACTGGTATTCTATTGTTTTCTAGGTCAGTGTGAATATGAGTTGGAAACAAAATTCAGCAAATTTCAGCTTAGTGTAGATGTAAATTCCTATTAATTTAACTGGAGAAAGTGAAGATTAACTGGATACATACATATGCTACATTTGGGGAAAGTTGTAATTTAAGTGGATACCAGTGAAGATTACGGTGTGCTTAGTATAGATGTATGTAAATTCCTATCAATCGGTTTCCTAATTGTGAGTACCTTTTAAACTTGCTTCAAGCACCGGAATGTTCGACTTTGTTCAATGGATTCCACGATGATACCATCGATGGGGAAAAGAATGTAGGTGTTATGGAGAGATTTGAATCACAGCTTGTTTCATTGTGTGAGAAAATAAACGAACTGAATGTAGAACTGATATTGAGTGTGTCAGTTTGAGGTGATAATTGTTCTTGCTTTCTTGGACAAGATTGTAAGTCATTTGATTTGCTTTGTACTAGAGCTCTATTTTTCTTACTTCCTCAAGCATCAAGATTAGGGTAACTTACGGCCACTCCCCGAGATAAGGTTAATTACGAAAAAACTCCTCATGTTTGGGTAATTACTACAACCAACCTTATGGTGTCAAATTCAACAATGCGGAATATTCTCTAGTTTGTACTCGTTTTGTGCAAAAATGCACTTTCTGATGCACCACAATCTGA